TCCCATATCATTGGCGATGCAAGGTCTTGCAAACCTGATTCTAAAAATCAGAACCAAAAATATTACACTTGCTTTTCTGAACTATTGCCATTGTTGTATTTTTGAAAGCTTAAAAGGTGCACAAAGTAACTTTCAATCGAAAACGTAATTGTCCCGGTACTTTATGCCCCTTTTTCATACTTTCAGTTATGGAATAAATCATTTCATAAGGTGACAAATATTTAGCATGATGCTTCATCCACACCAATATCATCAAATGCAAAAACATTTCAGCAAATTTACATATATATATATATATATATATATATGAAGAGTTCAGAATGCAAAAGCCTCTAAATGCCATTTGAAATTTTCTTCTTTAATGATGATTTTTATCAAACTTGTATATTTAAGTTCAGTAATTTCACTTAAGTAACAATTAATAGGTAATTATCATTGCCATTTAAGTGAAATCACTGAACTTAAATATACAAGCTTGATAAAAATGATCATTCTAGAAGAAAATTTCAAATGGCACTTAGAGGCTTTTGCATCTGAACTCTTCATATATATATATATATATATATATATATATATATTTTTTTTTTTTTACACATTAACTTTAATTGTAACAGCAGCCCACAGTGTGTGCAATGTGGGTTTGGATATTTTGGTAATTCCCATAGAGTTTGGTTTGCTCTCAATGATAATTTGGATAAACTGAATTTATCAAAATTGACACCTGCAATTTAAAGAAATAATGAATTTAAAGGTTTGCATTAAACCTTTGATAGATTTGGAGCTGAACTTCCTAAACATGTCATCCCACAAGATCAGCTTGATTCCTGGCTTCAGTTTGGTCATAAATTTCCCCACTGCGGTCACATGATTGAGGTACAGCCTTCCCATGTCTCCTTTGTTGGCCTCCAACCAGCGCTTCGAATCTTTGCTTTCGCCCAGCCCACGCACCTAAAAGTATTACATCAAAAGTGGACAGCCCTGGGGGTTACGCCTTACAAATAACAAATTATGTAATCAGATTACTTTTTTCATGTACATAGTAAAGCAATGCATTACTTTTAAAATTTCAAGAAAATATCTGATATTTTTTCAAATATGGTCAATTACACAAATATACTTTATGCATTTAATTTCAATTTATTTACCAATGTCTTTGCTGTAGACATTTGATGATCTAATTCAACCATAGTACTAAGTAAAAATAACTTTCGATAAGCATCACTTGTGTTCATTTTCATTAAATATTGCTGAAGTAAGAGTGTTGTACTTTATTCTTCTGCAATCCAGGGGTGCATTTCCCAAAAGCATCGTTGGCCAACTATGGCCGCAAGTTATGTTGTTATCTTCGCTTTCGCCCAGTCCACACACCTAGATATATTTTATCGAAAGTGGACAGCACTGGGGGTTACGCATTACAAGTAACTTGAGTTATGTAATCAGATTACTTTTTCCAAGTAAATTGTAAAGTAATGCATTACTTTTAAATTTACAAGACAACTTTTTCAAAAATGCTCAATTACACAAATATACTTTATGCATTTAATATCACTTTATTAACCAATTAGTGAAAAATACTGTTTTCGGGAAACAGTCGTGACTAGCAAGTCGATTTCTAGAACAATGCATCGCGTTATGGTAGTTATGCTACGCAGCGAGTTACGTCATTGTACGAGAAACGCAGACCAGAATGGCAGAACAGCTAAAAGGTTTGTTTGCACTGCACAGATGTGGCTTATTCTTAACTTTTGGTGTGAAACGGCCTTTACATTTGCCAAGAATATAACTTTTTTTTATTATTGAATAAAAAGTAACGTTTTTTTTATTATTGAATAAAAAGTAACGTTTTTTTATTATTGAATAAAAAGTAACGTTTTAGGGAGTAACGAAATATTATAATGCATTACTTTTAAAAGTAACTTCCCCAACACAGACAGTGGATATGCATTTACTCAAAAATGAAAACAATCTCATCATGCCTTTGTTATTTTCTTTCTTTCATCAGACGACCATTTTTAACTGATCCGTCAAGAATAAAGAGCCACCAACCTCGTCAGCTCCAATGTGGAACCACCGAGCTTCCCGGTGCTTCTTCATAACTTGAGTTAACATGTCCTGAACAAGTTCCATGCTTTCTGGGGCCAGAGGGTTTAGGCTATTGGGAAAAGTTTCCACTTCTCTCAATCTGAAATACTTCTTGTGTTTTAATACAAACTGAAATGTGACCAGAAAGACTGGTTAAGTGTAAGCAGGAGTGTTAGGCATGCTAATAAAGTCAAGTCAAACAATGCATCTACAGCATTTGAATGAGTTCACCACCACCATGAATGGTTGACCTTGATGCGTATGTAAAAAAAAATGTAAAGCTGCCTTTAGCGCTTTGCTTAAAGGAGTAGTTCACTTTTAAAAAAAACCTTTTGTTGATAATTTACTCACCCCCATGTCATCCAAGATATCCATGTCTTTCTTTCTTCAGTCGAAAAGAAATTAAGGTTTTCGATGTGAACCGTTTGGTTCCCACTGAAGTCCATTATATGGAGAAAAATCCCGGAATGTTTTCATCAAAAACCTTCATTTCTTTTCGACTGAAGAAAGAAAGACATGGATATCTTGGATGACATGGGGGTGAGTAAATTATCAGCAAAAGCTTTTTGAAAAGTGAACTACTCCTTTAAGTATATGCAACAAGCACATGTTTGAGATAAATATATTGTTTTATGATAATTAGCTTCTTCTGTACTTGCCTCCAAGTGTCCGAACACCTGCACAAGAGGAATTAGTTCAAGCTTGTGCTGTTTGGCAAGTGACTTAATTTCCTCAATATCTTCCGGACTTTACCGTAAACAATAAAGACAAACAAGTGGGGAAAATATGATTGAGATAAAGCAATTAAGAAAAAGAAGCACAAATCATGAGATTGTGATCAGTGAATATATTATAACAATAGTTCACTCAAAAATTGTATGGAAAAGTAGCTACTCTTCAGGATGCCTACTTTTGCACTCCACAAAAAATAACAGTTTACAGCTTTGGAATGATATTAGAATGAGTAAACAATGGAATTGAAATTTTTGAGTCAAATTAAGTCAAGTTTAGCTTATTGGAAGCTCAGAATCAGTCACCCACCTGTACGCAAAGCTTGATTTGAGAATTGCGAGCTCACCCTCATAGGGAAACATATCCTCATATTCCAGCAATATCCCATTAGCACCCAGAGATGACAGTAAAGGGAATATCTGTTAAAGTACATGAAGGGAAACTTTAAAAAAGGAGACTATTCATACATACACGTTCAATCCAGTTTGTTTGCATACACTAATTCCCACCTCTTTGAGGTATGTGACTTTGGGTGCTGCACCTTTCAGATCCAAGTGTACAATCTTTAATGGATCGGTCTGTGTATTGTCAGAAATGTCTGGCTCAACCTCCTCTTGCTTTGATTGGATCGTGTTTTTTTCCTCTGGCTGAACCACTGAGCCGTCTGTATGTTCTTTTTTGACAGGATCTTCTTGATAATTATCCAAAGTCAGCTGCGGGACACGCTGATCAGCCCAGAACTTATTACTTATTATGATTCGGTGTGTCTTTCCACTTGTGCCTTTGCTTGAGCTATAAACAGAAGGTAAACAAAATGCAATTATGAACTTGTTTGGGACAATGAAGCCTTGTTTGAAAGATGCATGGATGCACGTGTGTTATGGAGACTTTTGAGAAATCCTCACCTTGGACTAAAGATAAATTTCCCCATGGCAACAATCACCAACACACCGATGATTAACCTCATTAACTTTTGATTGTTCATGTTTGTTTCTCTGCAGGTGGATGGGATAAACCATAAAACTTAAGGCAGGCTTTCAACTCAGGTGACCTTGAAAATACAAAATTTACATTGGAAATCACAACACGTAATGGCAAGCTAAAATGCTTTACCTGTTAGTGTTCATGATATCAATAGAAAAAAAACTCCTCTTCTAAATACGTATTTATAATTAAATATATGTATTTATAGTAACAATCATCATCAACCACTTTACAGATGAAAATTGTGTGGTTTAAATAAAGTAAATATATCAATAATCAAAATAGATTTAAAAAAATACAGCATGCATTTTTATTTATTTTCTCACAATTCTGATACTTTTTCATTACACGGAGCCTTAAAAGGATACATCTTGCTATTATTTAGAAATATCGAAACGTCTACTTACTTTGTTAAGGATCATCAATTCTTTAGGGATATTAAATCCTTTATGATGCAGGAAAGCAGGAATACATTTACTTCCGTTAACGTTAGTAGTTTCTTGTGCTGCAAGTGCATCTGTGCTGTTGAAACTTAGGCAAGTTCAACCTGTTTTACCATGTGACGTTCACACGGGAGCTAATTTGCATTGCCAAATTATGATGACAGATGGTTGGTTGACAAACTTGCTTATGTTTATGCACTTGACTAAACGCGAACACCTGAACGCAAACTGCGTGACAGTGAAAGTAATTGTGCGCGTCACGTCGACACTTTACGGCGTGATTTATTCAGATAGGCGACCGTAAAATGTCTTATACATGCGCACATAAATAATACCAGTTTCTACATGTCAACAACGTAAAGAGCCCTGTATGATATACTCCAGCTAGCATTATTTAAATATTAAGACAAAATATATCTAAATATATATCTAAAAGTATATATGAAATCCGAATTTGAGAGCACTAAATTTAGATTTTGCATTGTTTAAATGTAGCTAACAATTTAAACAAGTTAAACAGTTTAATCTCAATGCTTTTAGAAAAACAATTAGATGTTTGCCTAATATGAAAATATGTAAAATGCACAAACTTCGACGTTGAATGAATACACCAGTGTGACATCATGTGACATACAGTTGACCTGTACTATCATATCAGCTGAAGTCCCGCCCTTATCCTCTTACTGTTTGCTTTGATTGGGAAGAGCCTATTAGGTGGTCTACGATTGGAGAGTTTGGAAGTCATTCACAGAGCCCAACCAACCACAGCACATGCATACTGGTAGCAGTGAAAAACAATGGCGTCGCATTTCAGCGGAGTGCTTCAGCTCACGGATTTGGATGATTTTATCACTCCGTCTCAGGTTGAATTGTTGTTTCTGTTCGTAACATTAAAAGCAGACACATTTCTGTTAATTTAACGCATTTACATTAAATCAGCTGTTAATGTTGGGCAAAAAAGAGAGAAGAAGATACATGGATGTAACATTGTATACAGAGAACGATACGTTTTTAAAAGTGACACATGTTTCAGACGTGACACGTCTTATGTGTAAATGCTAATTATCAAGAACATTTAGTTCGAGCTCCTAAGGATGGGCCTACATTATTTGCTCTGTCAGATACAGAAAGTGACTGTCTAAAACCCAATGATCTGCCAACTAACTTACTGTATATACAATTAATGTACAGTGGTCCTAAAATGTTTTTGTACACTTCAGGCACACTTAAATAGATAAAATATCTAAACCAAGTGATTTATTTGTAAGAAAAAAAGTGCAAACATAACTTTAAAAGAAAACAGATGACAAACACAAGTTTGTTGGGTATTATATTCTATTCAAAATGTATTTTGACAGTTTGTCATGCACTGAAATTTACTGTTACACCGTTTAATTAAAAAATATTGCTGATAACACTTGGTTTAATATTTTGACATATCATATATTTGTCATCTAAAGCAATAGCAGTCGTACATTTTTAACTATGACCTAAGTGTCCAAAAGTTTGGGGTCAGGAAGATTTTTAAAATGTTTGAAAAGCAGTCTTGGTGAGCAGAAGAGACTCCATTTAGTTGATCAAAATACAGTAGAAACAATAATATTGTAAAATATATTATCACAATTTAAAATTACTGTTTTCTATTTGAATGTAATTTATTTCAGTGTTGTCATTATCAATGTTGAAAACAGTTGTGTGCTTCTTAATATTTTATTTGTTAACCATGATACTTTTCCCAGAAAACTTTTTTTGATGAATAAAGTTGAAAAGAAAAACATTTATTTGAAACAGAAATCTTTTGCAACATTATAAATATCTTAACTGACACCTTTGGTCACCCTGATAAAAAAGTAAATTAATTTCTTAAAACTCTTATTGACCCCACACATTTAAACGGTAATGTATATAATCTATAATACAGAATATAATTTCACTGCTGTTAATTTGCCCAATTGATCAGGAATGTGTAAAGCCTGTAAAGGTGGAAAAGAAACAAGGCAGATCTGTGGCTAAAATCCAGATAGAAGATGATGGCAGTTATTTTCAGGTCCATCAGGTGAGTACAAATTTTGTGACTTTTATTTTGAGCCAGTATTGTGGTGTTTTGTCTTGTTTCATTTGATAGCAAAAAGCAAAGAATGTTTTTGATTTGTCACCTTAGATAGATATGTTGAATATTCTTATTTCCCAGGATGGTCAAAAGCAAAAGTTGGAGAAAGCCAAGATTACGCTGAACGACTGTCTAGCTTGCAGTGGCTGCATCACGTCTGCAGAAAGTGTCCTTATCACCCAACAGAGTCATGAGGAACTGTTCCGTGTGCTACGTCATAATAAAGTGTGCAGTGCTTTACACTCATTAAACTGCATTTAACTTGTCGCTCCACATAAATAGTTGACCTAAAAACATGTTTGTGCCTTCGAGCAGCAGGTTAGCAGTAGCGAGCAGAAGGTGGTGGTGGTGTCTGTATCGCCCCAGTCAAGAGCTTCTCTAGCTGCACACTACGGTCTCAAAAGCAGCGAGGTGGCCCACAGACTCACCAGATTCCTGAAAAATGTGGGTGAGTTGGAAGCTGCAATTCATCTGATCGGTCAAAGAATTCCTCCAATGGAAGCTGATTTCCACCACAAATTTAAAGGGATAGTTCACCCCAAAATTAAAATTCTGTCTGTATTTACCTATTTTTTACAGTCTATGGTATTTACTCACCCTCATGTTGTTCCAACCCCGTAAGACCTTCGTTCATCTTCGGAACACGAATTAAGATATTTTTGATGAAATCTGAGAGCTGGTTCACTCCTGCATACTAGTCCATAGGCTTCCTGAGGGATTGAAACTTGCCGGCCTCGAAAAGTTATTAAAGACATCGTTAAAATAGTCCAAGTGACTCATTCTTAACTTTATCAAGCGACGAGAACACTTTTTGTGCGCAAAAACAAACAAAAATAACGACTTTATTTCAACTATTCACTTCCTTCTCTATGCGCCTCTAGTCAGTTAACGTAGTTTGATAGCGTAGAGCAACAACAGATCATACGCTGTTAAACTAGTGATCTCACTCGAGGCAGAGAGAGAAGGACATGAATAGTTGAAATAAAGTCGTTATTTTTGTTGTTTTTTTGCGCACAGAAAGTGTTCTCGTCGTTTGATAAACTTAAGATTGAGCCACTGTAGTCACTTGGACTATTTTAACAATGTCTGTAATAACTTTTTGTGGCCAGCAAGTTTCAATCCCTCAAGAAGCCTATGGACTAGTATGGAGGAGTGATCCAGCTCTCAGATTTCATCAAAAATATCTTAATTCATGTTCCTAAGATGAACGAAGGTCTCATGGGCATGGAACAACATAAGGGTGAGTAAATCCTTTTTTTCTTACAATTTATTTCTCTGGAGAAATGTATAAACTCAGAATAGTGAGACAAAATTCGCAAATAACTTTTTTTTTAGTCCGTGGCGGGAAAAAAAGAATGGCAAGTTTAGAATTTCTAAGGAAAAAGGAATTGCCAGATGTAAACTCAGAATTAGGAGATGTTGACTCAGATTTACAAGACAAAATTTCAGAATTACGAGATGTAAATTTAGAATTAGGAGGAAAAAAAGTCAGAATTATGAGATGAAAACTCATGAGATGAAGTCAAAACAGGGAGATGTAAACTCAGAATTAGGAGACAAATTAAAAATTGTGAGATAGCAATAGCTCACAATTGTAAGTTATAAACTCCTAATTGTGAGTTTATAACTTACAATTGTGAGCTATTGCGAGAAGAAAAGTCCAAATTGTGAAAAAAAAGTCTGAATTGTGTCCTCTGTGTATTGAGATCATGGAAGTGCCATACTGATCTTTCAGGTGTCCATCATGTGTTTGAGACCGGCTTCAGTCGCTCTTTCAGCCTGTTAGAAAGCCAGAAGGAGTTTCTGGAGCGATTCAATCGGAAGGAAGTGGACAAGAAGGCCCTACCGATGCTGGCGTCTGCCTGTCCAGGTAGTCTTTTCTCAATCTGTATTTTTATTTTCTGAAATATTCTTGGTAGTGTGCTTTATAATGGGTCCAACATGCATTTATTCTCTGTATTTCATCCAGGTTGGATTTGCTATGCTGAGAAGACTCATGGTGAATTCATCCTCCCGTACATCAGCACAACGCGCTCGCCCCAACAGATCATGGGTTCTCTAGTCAAGGGCTATTTTGCCTCTCAGGAGGTACTAAACAATGAACTGCCCACAATGCTTTGTGCCAAATACAAAGTCCCACATTTAAAACCTGTAATGTTTCATTGTCGTTTAACTATATTGTACATTTTCTTTAAATAATTATTTATAATATTTTAAATATTTTCCTTTAAATATTTCTCAGTTAAGTTAACAGTGACTTTTATATATATATATATATATATATATATATATATATATAAAAAGTCGTTATATTTATATATATATATATAAGTCTCACCTATTGTAATTTACATGACAAATCAAGGTCAAACGGCATTTTATTCTCCATCATTTCCTTTGATAGGGTATTTCACCACAGAAGATCTACCATGTGACTGTGATGCCCTGCTATGATAAGAAACTAGAGGCTTCCAGACCAGACTTTTACCTTAGCGAGTACGAGACCAGAGAGGTGGACTGTGTTATTACTTCAGGTGAGTGAATCTAACAGCATTTAAAGATGAACGAGTGTACAACAACAAGGCTCAGTCCCTCATCTTGTATGCGTTTGGTTAACAGGAGAAGTTCTGAAGATGTTGGAGGAGGAGAATGTGTCCTTGAGAGATGTGGAGTTGGCACCTTTAGACACAATGTGAGTTCTTCATGTTTGCCACACCAATAGTAGAAATTGTGTCATACATGAATGTGTGCTTTTAGGTTCAGTAATGTCTGTGGGGAGGAGCTGCTGCGTCACGCAGGAAGTGGATCTGGAGGATACCTTCATCACATCTACAAACATGCCGCAAAACAGCTGTTTGGGGTTGAAGTAGATGAACTGACATACAAGACAGTGAAGTACGTGTGAACACAGCAATACTGTTAAAAAGGTCCAGAAATGTACACTTACATGTTATATGTACACTGCCGCTCAAAAGGTTGGCGGTCAGTCTTTTTTTTGTAGTTGTTAAAGAAATGAATATTTTTATTAATCAATGATACGTTTAATTGAATTAATCAAGGATGCATTACATTTGATCAAAAGTGTTACAAAATATTTAAAATTGTAATAAATGTTGTCCTTTGATACATTTTTTTAGAAATTTATAGTTTAAGTTTCCACAAAAGTATTAAGCAGCAAAAACTTTTTTTGAATATTAAGAAATGTTTCTTGATCAAAACATTTTTTATTCTCATCAAATCGGCATATTAGAATGATTTTTGAAGGATCATGTGACACTGAAGACTGGAGTAGTGATGCTTAAAATTCTGCTTTGATCACAGAAATAAATTCTATTTTAATATGTTTTAAAATAGAAAACAATTCTTTCAAATTTTAATATTTCACAATATTACTAATTTTTATTTTTTTACATAATTTTAATCAAATGCAGCCGAAGAGACTTCTTTAAAAAATGTTACCGACCCTAACTTCTGAATGGAAGTGTATACCTTTATTAATATTTTAACAAATATTACCTAAATAATGAATATTTGTATTAAGGATTTTAATTAATATTTTTTTAATTAATAATAATAATAATAAATGTAAGAAAAAAATACCATGGTTCCGTCAGGGTTTCCGCAGACCAGGAAAACCTAGAAATATGAGAGAATTTTTAAAAGTGTGTTTTTTTTTTTTTTTTTTTTTCAGGTCTGGACAAATCCTAATTATTGATAATAATAGCCTTAGATCATGGTAATATCATATAATTTTCTATAGCCAGTTGTTACACCCAGTTCTTTTAAAAAAAGAAATTACTAGAAAGAAATCACCCAGTAATTTCTAATTTACTATTTACCAATTTCATCTAATTTCTGTATAAAATCATTTTTAAAAATAACTATTTAAAACAATTTTATAACTGGAAATTGGTCAGAAATTGTAGTTACCATTTAATACCATGGTATTATTTGAAGTGCACTGGAGCACAGCGTTAATACCTTGGTATATGAATATGATAATATTATGATAATCATTCACTTCCATAGTATGTATCAAAGCTCCTTCATTTTAACAAGATAACCTGATACCTTTACCATGGTATTATTACCACAATACTGTTTTGTTAAGGAATAATATGCTTGTCGGATGTCGCATTTGATTTATTTAAAAAGACTGTTCTAGAGTGGTTGTTCTTCATTGGTAGTGTTTGTGTTTGTGTCAAGTGTTTGTGCATCGTGGTAGTGCCTCAGTACTTTTTCCGTAAGGTACATTTTATTTGTCTCTCTTTTTGTTCAAACAGAAACAAGGACTTCCAGGAAGTCAGTCTGGAGAAGGATGGCCAAGTTCTGCTGCGTTTTGCTGCCGCCTACGGCTTCAGGAACATTCAGAACTTGGTGCAAAAGCTGAAAAGAGGGAAGTCAACGTACCACTTTGTAGAAGTGATGGCATGTCCGTCAGGTAGGAAATTAATTACCACTAGTCCTGTTCTCTTGAATAATATCTGTTCTAAACTTGCATAACCCCTATTAGGGCCCTATTAGTTTCAGCCTGACGCAGTTATCATTTTCACGTCCTGCTCCACGTTGTTTAAATAGCAAACGCATTTGTGCGCTGGTCTGAAAACGAGATGTGTAGGCGCATTGTTGGCTCGTTGCTATTTTGAGGAAACTGAAATAGACTGCGCCAATATTTTTTCGTTACTCACACAGGGACAGGCAGCAGCACACAAAACAATCCAAATATTAAAAATAAAAGTGAAATTAATTACAATATAAAAATTAGTATTGCGTACATAAAGATCTCCTCGCTCGCGTTAACCTCGCACATAAGTAGATCCGTTTCCTCTCTGGAGAAGCGTTCAGTTTTTCCGTGTGCAAATCCCGCCATGTAAATAGCAAATCCGCCATTGGCGCGAGCGCAACTGGCTTTTAAAGGAATTTTTTTTTTTTGCACGTTACTCCCAAAACACACTCATTATTCGTTAAGAGAATAGGGATAAACTTCTCAGACCATGCGCTTAAATCCCGTCGTTAAACTAGCAAAAGTGGATTCGGACACCATTTGCTTAGATCGTTAAAAAAGGGCCTTTAATGTTAGTCAGTGTTGTTTAGTAGCGTTTTAAAATAAGGTCTGATTCACAAATGCGTTTAATTGAACTCTACAGGATGTCTTAACGGTGGTGGTCAGCTCAAACCTTCATCAGATCAGTCCAACAAAGAGTTGCTGCAGCAGGTGGAGGAGCTTTACCACGGTGAACGTACCGCAGTGCCAGAGGAGGACTCGCGAGTGGCTGAACTCTATCAGCGCTGGGTGGAGAGCGTGGGAGACGAGAAAGCCCGACAGTTACTGCACACACAATACCACGCCGTAGAAAAAAACAACAGTGGCCTCAGTATAAAGTGGTGAGGAGCTGCCCTGACACTGAACAACCAACTACAGTGTTCCTCTCTGTGTGCGTTCATCAGACACTACAACAGCTTTACATGTCATTACAGTTGAATGGACAGATGAAGTAATATTTCCTGCAAATATGTGTCTATTAGATATATGCTATTCAGATTACATGTCAAACCGGACTTTATGTATCTACTTGTCCATGAATGTTGCCTTGTTTTATTTTCTCTCATTTATCCTCGAGTTTGTGTGTTTTTTTTTTTTTAAGCATTCCTGTAAATTCATTGTTACTATGTACTGTAGTATGCACTGAAAACAGTTGTTTTTGAGAATACATTTTGATTCATGATGACAATAAAAATGATAACGTTTCCATGTATAAAATAATTCCATGAATGTAATTATATTTATTGAGGAAATAAACTATACATATATTTTGCTCAATACATTTTTTTTATCAGTCATTTTTATTCAGGGTGTTTTAAATTACCCGAAAAAGCAACAACAAAAACATTTTTATTAAAATTGGTCCTGCACAGTACACTATTTTCATTTGTGTTACATTGTATTTAAACCCGCATTATAAACGGGATTTATCATGATAAAGTTGATCCAGGACTGTTTGCAGACTTCTGGGTGTTATAATAATGCAACAGGAATAGTATTTTACAATTAGTACTTAATATTGTTTCACAAAGCAGGTAATAAACACTCATTAAGAAAATCTGTGTCGCTGCATTTCTACAAAAACAAACCGCTGTAAACATTTATATTAAAACTTTATTCAGTTTGAATGATTATAATTAAATATTCTGTTACATCTGACGACTAGTGCAAGATTGGCTGAAATAAGACTGCAGTGAAAAGCTAAAACAAGTATGCAGTGTTCAATATTTTCTACATTCAAAATCATTCAGAAACATCAAAATAAATGCAGTTCAATTTCTTATGGACATTAAAACACACCAAATTAAATTTAGCTGGAACACCTCGCTTTGTCAACATCTTAAAAATAATTATTTTGGATTTACAAAAAAAAAACATTGCACATTAAGACGAAACATTCTGAAATAAAACTATAATTTAACCACACAACATTGGTTCAGACACGGTCTGGATCCTTCCAAAAATAAAACTTGCGCAAATAAAATTTGGCCTACAGCACAGACCTACATTTGTGTGTTTTTTTTTAAATGCAAATTGACGGCATTAATGTATTTTTTTAACGATGAAAACATCTGTTTTTGTTTGATCTATTGCTTGTAACAATTATTTAAATGCATTGTTTTGCTGTGTATTGCTCATTGAAGATGATACGCTGCCCAAAAATTGTGTTTTTGATTTTGATAAATGAAGCATGTGCCTCATGTCCTGCTATTGTTAGTGAAACGATGAGCGTAGTGGTGATGACCATCGCAAAGACAAGCCCGAAAACTCAATTCTTCGGGACTCTAAAGCTGTCCTTCTCCTTACGGATACTTCTCATGGCTTCAATCGGGTCACTGGTCCCAGCATGCTCCTGTACCGAATTCTCTCTGAAGTGCAAACACAAAGACGTGAGGGGGAAACAAATCTTAGTAACATTTGAGATTATCAATAACAAAGACTAAAAAATGCTGTAGAATTCATTGTTAGATCATGTTAACTAACGTAGTTTACTAATGACAACGTATTTAATACTACATTTAATTTTAAATAATAAATGTCTTTAAAATAATACTTTTTATAATAAAAAATACTTTCTATTTTTTTTTTGTCTCTTAATGTTTTTCAATAAGTTCAAACCAATGCTTACATTTCATCAGCAATATACCAAGTTTACTTGTATGTCCAGATAATGTGAAATGCATAAACAACAAGTGAAGTTGAAGAAAGTCTATACATGATGTACAGTACTGTGCAAAAATCTTAGAGATGTTAGTACTATTTTCACACCCAAAAAGATATTATATCTTTTGGAGAAGTTATAAATAACTGTATATTTGGGAATGATTTCACATACCTCACTCTCATGAAAGGGTTAAATGTGAACTCATCAGCCACCGTAGAAGGAATGGTCGGCTCTCCGTTATCGTATTTTTCCTAATCAATGTAAGACAAGGTTATTCAAACACTTGCGCTATGATAGTATTTGCAGCTGAAGTAAATGAATGTTTAAGAGGAGTTAAACACCTTAGCCCAAGCCAACTTTGTCCGGATGGCCTCATTGTTTGGCTCGACATGGCGCGCAAATTTCAGGTTATTGATGGTGTACTCGTGCCCACAGTACACACGCTGCAACCAGAGGAAATTGTGAGTGAACATGCGACTTTTTACAACTTAAAACGTGTTTTTTTTGTGTTTTGTTTTTCTACAGTAAGAGATAAACAGCATTTATTGCTTTAAAATGAAATGTTCAGTGATGTTTTATAGCACAAACACAGAGATTTGAGTTTAGAGTTTATGGGAATTGTTACCGTCTCTGGAGGAAGACGGCCTAAAACCTCGATCAGTGCTTTGTACATCTCATCAGCGGTACCCTCAAAAAACTTCCCGCAGCCGGCCACGAACAGGGTATCTCCTATTCACAATGTGAACGTAACAAGAGAAAAAAAAACAGCTTGTCAATACAGTTCTACAAAGTCAGACTTTAATTGAGCAAACAACAACAAAAAAAAATTTAATTGAGCAAATTAAATCAGTAAAGTTGTTAAATCACTAAAAAATTATTTACTTAGTGTACACTACCGTTCAAAGGTTTAGGGTCAGTGTGATTTTTATTAAAGGGGTGGTTGATTATGATTTCACTTTTCTAACTTTAGTTAGTGTGTAATGTTGCTGTTTGAGCATAAACAACATCTGCAAAGTTACAATGCTCAAAGTTCAAAGTTCAGAAATCGCTTTAAGGACTACAACAAACGGCTTGTAGGGAGTACACGATATTCCTCCCGGGATAATGACATCACAAACCCTAAAATTTACATAAACCCCGCCCCCGGGAACACGGTTAATGTTGAGAAGAGGAAGAGTTGTTGTAATAAAGCACATTGTGAGTCTGCTCAAGCTGTCGCATCTGTCTTTTCACATGCAATACAATACGTTACACAAATGCAATATCATGTAACAGTTCCTACACAAAAGCGATTTTATAGATTATCAAGACAGAATATGCTAATCAAAGACTTGAAGAGAGTTAACTCCACATCACAACATAAATTCATCAACTAACCATTCAGAAACGTTATGTTGCATTCTACATGTTGTCACTTTTTCTTGAGTCTCTCCATTATTGCCCGACTCCAGTTTAAACTAAAATGTCACACACTCTTCTGACATTTTAATGCGCGTCTGCATAATCGGAGCTGCTCATTTGCATTTAAAGGGGCACACACGAAACGACACGTTTTTGCTCACCCTAAAAAATTATCTGTGGGGTATTTTGAGCTAAAACTTCACATGAACACTCTGTGGACATCAGAGACTTATTTTAAATCTTGTGAAAAGGGCCATTATACCACCCCTTTATTTTTTAAAGAAATTAATATTTTTATCCATCATGAATACATTAATTTGATAAAAAGTGACAGTAATACATTTTTAATGTTACAAAAATATAAACGCTGATCTTTTGCACTTTCTATTCAACAAAGAACAACCTTCTTTGGACGTCAATCAATCAGAAATGTTTTTTTTAACCATCAAACCATCATATTAAAATGATTTCTGAAAGATCATGTGACACACATGTGTCAAAATTCAGCTTTGGTCAGAGGAATAAATTACATTTTAAAATATATTGAAGTAGAAAACAATTATTTTAGATTGTAATAATATTTCACAATATTACTGTTTTTTTACTGTATTTTTGATCAAGTAAATGCAGCCTTGGTGAGCAGAAGAGACTTTAGTAAATCGTACTGAACCCAATCTTTTGAACGGAAGTGTATGAAAATGTGTCTTACCTGTAAACACAGCTGGTGGTTCGGTGCTGTTTTCTTTTGTTACGAAATAGCAGATGTGGCCGGTGGTGTGACACGGCGTAAACAAACACTTTACATTCAGAGAGCCCACCTGGAACGATCAAACAATCTGAAATGTGTCCAGCGGTACGAAGTGCATGGTTCTGATTGGCTAAGCTCCATTCAAAGCCAATTTGTGCCATTCGAAAGTTTGGGGTCAATAAGATTTTTTTCATTTTTTACATTTATTAATGTTTTAGAGTAAAACATTAATATTTTGAAATATTATTCAAATTTAAAATAACAGTTTTCTACTTTAATTAAGTATTTTATTTGAAATAATGAATGAATTAATAATTAGAATAATTGTATTTTATTTTTAATTAATTAATTTGTTTATTTGAAAATGTAATTTGTTCTTCTGATGACAAAGCTGAATTTTCAGCATCATTACTCCAGTCTTCAGTGTCACATGATCCATCAGTAATCATTCTAATATGATGATTTGATGCTCAAGAAACATTTATTACCATTACCAATGTTGAAAACAATAGTGCTAACTAATATTTTTGTTAAAACCTTTTTTTACAGGATTCTTTGATATCTTTAATGTCATTTTGATCATAAAACTATTCAATTTTGTTAAAAAAATCTTACTGACCCGAAACGTTCCAACAGGCGTATATATATATATTAAATAAACCAGTCTTACTTTGAAAGTGTTGGAGTGTGTGACTTTCTGAGTTAAAGCTCCCACTCTGTCATCTCCTCCGTACACTGTCAGTCCCGGCATGAGCTTCACCAGCTTCTCATTTCCTCCAGCGTGATCCCTGGAAGTTATGAAACATCACCTTTAATTCCCTAATCAAACTGTCATATTAGTGTGCATGGGCTTTATTACAGGTCTGACTTACCAATGATGATGTGTGGTCAGGACACTTTTGAGCTTCACACCATGCTTTTTGACTGCATCTACAACCTGAGACAGATGACAATTATGAATCCATGCGATGCACAATGTGTAACATCCACAATGAGATACTCTTACCTTCTGGGGCTCTACTGGATCGACTATGGCTGCCTCCTTGGTGTCTTCATCGATGAGGAGGTACATGTAGTTGTCGGTGAGAGCAGGAAGCAGTTCGACCTTCATATCTGACTGTTCCACCAGAGAAGATTTCCTTAGAGCGGAGTGAAACCAGGCTGTAGGAACTTCAAAACCGAGATTCAGGATTAGGAAATGTTCTCGCTTGGATAACACATAGATTTCAACATAAGTTCCTGGTAGTCGACCTTGTCTACCAGGAACTGAGGAACTGGTTAGGCTTATTATTCATGTTACAGAAGGGCATCACCAGCTTGACTACTTTAAACGGGTTCGACCTGCTTTTTCCAAATGTTAAAATGCAATTAGTCCAAATGAAAATACAAATTATTCTGAAACATCTCATTCAGTGTGAAGGAGTACCTACATTCTTATATTATGATTATACAGTTATTATGATAACAATTACTTCAGTAACTGTAGCATTTTGGTGGAAACAGTTGTATTGGTAGTAATATTGTGAAACATTTTTGCAATTTTAAATTCTATTTGAATATCCTTTCAAATGTAATTTATTCCTGTGATGGTAAAGCTGAATTTTCAGCATCATTCCTCCAGTCTTCAGTGTCACATGATCCTTCAGAAATCATTCTGATATGCCGATTTGATAATCAAGAAACATTTATATGTATTATCATCAATGCTTTTTTATTTTGGATGTTGGCTTTTTAATCGCGATTAATCGCATCCAAAATAAAAGTTTGTGTTTACATAATATATGTGGGTGCACGGTGTATAATTATTTTATATATATATATATATATATATATATAAATACACACAAATGAATGTATATATTTAAGAAATATTTTCATGTATCATGATATATGGTCCAAATATACATGCATGTGTGTGTGTATTTATATACAAAACAATTATACACAGTGCACCCACACATATTTTATGTAAACACAAACTTTTATTTTGAATGCGATTAATCACGATTAATCGTTTG